TTGTGTTACTAAGGGTGATTGTTCATCTTGGGCACTCCTTCAGTCAGCCCTGCCTACAAGAAAATATTTTGTGGGTCCCTTAAGAAAACTTAGTGATAGATGATCTGCCTCCTGAATACCAAGGCCTCTGAGTACCTGTCTGACAGAAGCACATCAAGTGCTCATAGTAGACTCACATGATCAGCATGCAAACCACTGGAGAATAAGGACGAAGTAGAATTTCCTCATCTGCACGGATGATCAGGGAAAACTCCATTATGAGCAGTCTTTTTCTCCCTTCATCTTTGGAGAGACATTTTTCCACAATCTGACGCTCACTAATAGCTATGTACTTTTAGATTTGACAGACTTGGATCCCAGAGGCTGAAAAAAAGCTGCTACAAAGGTTGATTTACTGCAATAAACTGGTATTCATAGATACATGCATATACACACATATATATATATACACATACATCAACAAACAACATTTGTGTCTGCAAAGTTGGAAACACTGAGGACTATTTTGCCTTGATGCATTTACATTCAGCCATTTCAGTCAAGAGAGGAGTATCTAAAAATAATTTGTTCAAGATGGTCCTTCTTTCTAGCACAATCCAGATTAGAATTAACACAACAGTGTGGTTTTGTGCTCAGCAATCTAGCAGAACAAAAGTGCAAAAGACCCTTCTGGTGGTTTTACTGTTCTAGGCTCCTCGGACAAGAAAAAATACAGAGTTCCACATTTAAGTAAAGAAATCATTTTTCCATATCTTAGCTCAGTAGATGTATCCTATCATTATCTACTGGCATGCATCACACAGAAATATGTTAAACTGTCTTACCAGCTCAAAGGAAACTTCACTTTTTGCACTGCTTCTGTCCCTTCACAGTTTCGGCTGTGTGGTTTGGTGATCAGGCAGTAGCAGCAGTGGTATAATAAAGCAGAGCTTACTGTGCTCGATTTTAAAGATAATCTCAAGAACCAATGAAAAACTCCTCAGATTATCAGATTGAGTTAAAGTAGCTGCATCTGCGATTACTCATTAGCGATGGAGAAACTGAGGAATTTATTTTAAAGGATTAACATTTAAAAGGCCAAGTAATTTGCTGAATATCAAAGTACATTCTTGCAACATCTGTATAAAAAAGGCCAGCAGAAGAGCTGAGTGACCTAAAGCCATTTCCTAGCCCTGTCTGAATGTGAGGCGAGACGCTTCCACCCAAGGGCTCTGCCCAGCTGTGCTCAGACACCCCAGGCATCCCTGAGCTGCCCGGTCCTGTTCTTCCTCCACAGCCTACTGCTGCACTGTGCTCAAGAAGCAGCTCTGGAAGCAAAGGCAAACGAGCACTGCAGTGCTTCCACATCCAGATCCACACCCAGCTCAGTGCTGCAGTGGTAGCGTTACAGTCAGGATCCATCAGTTCAGTCATGTACACGGGTCTAGTGCCAGAGAGGGAGAGGGAAGCCGGCAAAGCACTGCCGGAATAACACTCTGCCAGTGTTAGCTTTAGGGGCCAACAGACAGGAAGGCAGGGGCCATGCGGAAATGGAGACAGACATTTCCAAATTGCTACTGCAGATTGAGTCACGGTACTTCTCCCAATACCTGCTTTTGGGCCTTTCCCATCCACTAAGAATCCTGCTAACTCCCATGAGGCCCCACAGTTACCCATCTAAATGTATATTACACGTTTTATAATTACAACAAACAGGAGCAGAAACAGAAAGCCCCTACAACGCAAGCAGCCTTCAGAGTGTCATTCAGGCGAATAACACTGGCTGCCTCAGAACTGTCCAGATGCCTGTAGTTTGCCTGTTGCGGCAGAACTCGTCTTTTCTCCTGTAAAGACAAGTTGTATCCCTGCATCTGCCCAGCCTACTGCTGCAGGTCACCATAAAAATGCTACGGCTGTGTAAGACCTGCAGCTTTTACCATATTCTGCCTACAGGGCAGACAGAAAAAAGCAGTACAAGACTTCAGCAGTTTGGCTCAACATTAACTGAACTCCTGCTCTCGAAAGGCCACTCAGATCCTTCTTTCATGTTTTCTAGGACCCATTTACACCTGTCCCACTGTCCCTCAACTAGCTTCCATCACATGAGCAGTGTTTCTCACCAGCTAATTTAAGTTGCATCTACCTTGAACAAGAACAACGACAAAAAAGAACTTCAAAGTGCTCCATTTAGATAGACATCCACTGTTTGCTGTCAACCCAGTACCAAATGCATATGTTTTACTGTCTATTATGGTTTTAGATCATTATAGAGACAAATGTAATAAATAAGAGAAACGTCTCGTTACAGTGGAAGCTACTGGGACATGAAGCACTTGCTCTTGTGCTGCATTCCTTGGCTTGTACAATAATGCACATTTCTGAGCCTGAGATAGCCTCAGACGGACTCACATAGACTCAGATTTCCATGTCTACCTGCTTCTATGCTTGGCTAGGGAACACGTTGTTAGTCTATCAGAGTAGGTGGTCAGTACTCTAGTCGAGGACCACTTCTGCATCCTGATCACTGTCACTCAAGAATCTGTGAGATTTGACCTCCCTCCTCTCCTCTGCTCAGTGAGTCCCCCAGTAAAAGCACGCTGTTCTGGCCAGTGCCGCGTCCCTGACTGTTGTGAGCACTGTGCAAAGTGCAGCACGCTGCAGCCATCTACGGGATTTGTCTACAAGGGTAGTGCTGCTGGCATCTTCTCCCTGCCTCATCTGCAGCTCAGTGCGTGGCTCACCTCTCCTTTGAAGGCAGGCTAAAGTTAGATCAGCGGGTCAGCTGAGCTCGGCAGGAGTGGCCCAGCAGACTGCAGCGAAGGGCTTCAGCAGCCTATTGCAGACTCTGTTCGTTTAAGCAGACCAAGCACTTAAACATCAAATGGCTTTACCACACTTATCATAACTCTTTCCTGTGCTTCACACTGCTGTTCAGGAATCTACCACCATGTCTCAGGTCACAGAAGGGTGGAGTGAGACCTTTTAGAGACAGCTTGTTTGAGCGCAGGGGAGGCCTCCCAAAACCCAACAAAACATGGACTTGCAATGCTACCGATGGCCCTAGTATCCCAGGGGAAATACAGTTTTTCCAAATTAGATATCACTAGGACAGGGACATTTGTAGTTTGCTGCTATAAGCCACAGAAAAAAAAACACCTCAAACCCCTCCACATCCACAGTATCAACAACTCATCAGCCAAAAGCTTGATTTACAGATTGCTTCAAAGGCAAGAGTCTCTGTTATTTTAATATCCTTATGCCACATATCAAAGCAAGCTCTTCTCTGCCCGTTAAGTCTGCCTCCTAGGGTCACCAGAGGAAACTTCTAGCCCAACTTAGCAGCAAACCACCTTCTAGCAGATGTGCAGCTACAGATAGTGCAGCAATGACAGAAACAGCTCCTTCAGCAGTTCTGGGGCCAACGATATTAACAGGAACGAGGAGCGTGCAGAACTGAGGTGTAAGAGGGCCCTAGAAAGACAGGCGAGTTTCCCCTCTTCCCTAAGCAGCCTGGAGCCAGTTACCACAATGTAGTTTCTGAAGTGCAAATAGCTGCAAGGTGAAGTTGCAGAAGACTGTGTTGCAGACCACCAGCGATGCTCCTGCCCAGCCACACATTTACACAGACACGCACAGCGCCAGCAACCCTTGCGGGACAGCCAAGCGGGGCTCAACGGGAGGAAGAGGCGTTGGCTCGATCCTCTGCCGCCTCGGGGAGGGCGTGCAGGGTACTGGCAGCACAGCAGGGAGGGTGCACGGGCACGTTAAGAGAGCACCTCCCACGACTTATCACAGACGATGAGAAAAATGGAAAAGGAGGAGGGAAGGAACCAAAACCCTGATATCTTGGAGCAGCGCCCGGGAAGCCCCTGAGCTAGGGGTATGTTGAGGGAATAATAACATTTGAGTTTATTTGTATCACAGCAAAAACAGATTATTACTGCTCTGGAAACATACATCATTCACCACAAAGGTTCTCTCAGTATAAGCTCTTTTGGAGCCAAACAGACCATGGGTTAGTAGCATTGTGCCTATGTAAGATGTAGGTCTTCACATTCAATATCAGTATTGCAGCAACATGTAAAGACAATCATCCTACTCAAAACAGAAATACAAAGATGTCAGAGGGAAACATATTCATAGCTACAGTGCAAATAATAGTTTCATGGTTGGCTTTATTAGCTAGCAGAAATTGCTCAAACTTTGTGCTACTAACCTGTTAACTGCAGCAGACGACGTCCAAGGCAGAAGATGGAGTTGCAGGCACACACAGGTCAGACAACATTTCTGAAGTTTCTGCATAATTCTAAAAGCTGCTCAATGTTTCAGTTAATGTACTTGGAAAATGCTGGGAGAGAGGCTGTTTCAGTAGCAAGCCCTGGTAGCAAAAGTTTGTCTGGAATTACGTGTGTTTTGAAGACTTCATTTGCAGACTCCACCTGGAAAGACAAAGTCTTTCTGAAACCAGAGTTGTGCCTGGCCTCTCGGACACACAGTTCTACCATGATTGTATGAGAATTGTTTTTTACCTACCCCATGGACAGGGCTAGGATCATCCATAATTGACAAACTGTTGCAGCTGGGTTTAAAGAGCCAAACACATTAGTAGGAAAACACCACCTGTGTTGTTTGGAAATGGTATGGGAACTTTAATGTAACAAACATGCTTGCCATGGGTTATGCTTCTAAGATTCCATGTACATCCAAACTCTCCAGTCATGTAAGAATTCCAGGGAAAATAATTTAAAGTTCTGTATTCTTTATCAGGTTCCTGTCAAAAAAACTTTCACATCTACATAAGCTAAAGGGTAATTTTCAAGGTACAATTGTTTTTTCTGCCATTATAAAGGGGTCTGACCTAGGATTCTAAAAGGAAGGAAAAAAAAAAAAAAAGGAAAAATAAATCAGGTCAAGTTTGAGACATTAACAGGGTAAGTGGCAGTAGAAATAGGCATAATTTCTATGGACCTAACAGTTTTCAGCTGTATGCAATAGAGCTTGCACAAAGTAAACTTTGGTTCTCTTCAGAATTTCGTTAACACTTTGCTCCTGGCACAGTACAGAAAAGGCCCTACACTCTGCAGGGCAACATCAAGTCCGTAGTTCGTCTATGTCCCATTGACTGGGCTGTCAGAGCAACAGGAGACCCACTGCTTGACGTAGCTCCGTGGAAAGTCCTCCCCCTCCTGCTCAAGAGGGATGGACCCACAGTTGATCTGACTGTTTTGCTCAAATTCACAGTCAACTGGGCTCCCACAGTCCGAGTCCACAAAGCCACTGTCGATAGTGTCCAAATCTATGCAGATCATAGGGTAATTGTCACCAGGCCTTGCCATGTGAGGGAGGAAGTCACAGGAGCCTTCACTGTAGGAAACACTTTCACCATCAGGAGAAGGTAGAGAAGCTGGATTTTCCAAATCCCACTGATTAGGATACAAGCAAAGGGCTTCTAGAATGCTCCTCATTCCCACTTCCAAAGCCCCTTCTGCTTGCTGATGGGCTGGGACACTTGTACTCCCCAGGCGGTCAGTGGACACAGAGCCTGAAGCAAGTATTTTGTCCTGCGTGCTCAGGTCAGCCAGATGCAAGTCAGTGGATGTCCTTCTGTCTTCATTATCAATGTTAACCTTGGGGTAACCAGTTTCTCCAGCACTACCATCTTCCTCACTGGTATGCTCATGTCTCCTGTACACACGGTTACAGGTGCACTGGCAGGTACAAGGTGTAAATTCATCAGCCACAGTCACAGTATCCATGGACAAGTGCCCGTATGACTGGTCCTGAGTCCCACTGCTGCTGTTCACACTAGACAGCAGGGACTGGCTGTCCTGACCTGGGGCAGTCAGGCAAGACACACAGGGCTTGCAAGGCAGATCTTTTCTCAGCTCACGCAGCTCCTCCTGGGAGGTGCTGTTGGAAGGATGCATGGTGTAAACTTCTAGGACTTCGGGAAGGACTATTCCCCATTCAAAGAGATCAAAGGTTATTTTCGTATGGGATGCACCAACCCACTTCTGCATAAAAGGACATACAGGGAGAGAGGGGGAGAGAGAGAGGTTAGTATCATCAGATGTGAAGTTCCACAGAAATGACCAAAGTTCTTGTGCTTTTTGAGGCAAAGTCCAGAATCAGACTTCTCCAAAATAGCACAGTATGAGATGTTGTTATTACTAGACACAGGCAACTGCACGAGAACTGACTCAGGTAATTGAACACAATTAGCTCTGAGAGGTTTGCATGGCTTTGCAGTTTTCTTGGAGCTGCAAAGAATGCCACTGCCCATACCAGCATTCCTTCGTGCATCAGCCAGAGGTCCCTTCCCAAGCCACCAACTCTCCCCTGCCCTCTTTGTTCTGGACACGGCTTCTCCTAGGAAGGATAGTCAGCTTCTCCCCTACACGCTGCATCTGCACCCAATACACGGGCAGCCCTGCCCTGTCACTTCCCTCACCTCAGTTCCCTGGGCAGGGGTTGGGCAAGGCTCCTCTGGATCTTCTGAACACAACCATGCCCCAGACCAGCCTTTTCTCTCACAGTGACAACAACGAAGAAGGGGTAGGTAGGGGATGAGGACATCAAAGAGCTGTAGCCACCACCTGCTGCAGACAACACTTACTCAGATGATTAGGGAGTGCCACATACCAAACTTTGCCCTTCTGTATCAGCATTAGTATTACATTCTTCCCTGTGCCGTGCATTATCTCTTGATCATGAGCCCCTTGCATTCAGTCACAGCTGGGAGTAAAGGCACCTCTAGGTTTTTCTGATCTAAGAACAAAGTTTCTGTTCTTTTTGAAGAAGAACTGAATCAGACACTCAGATCATGGCAAACTTTAGGCACATGCCACTAATGAATGCCAGTAAGACCTGCTAGAGGATTCTGCAGTCCGGAGGCTGGGCACAGCACAGACTCAAGTCTTGGTTCCGCTCCCTGACACTTGCCTAATGGCTGAGCTGCGTCAAGGCTCTGCTAAGTGCAGCACTTTCTACCATGTGTAAAATAGGTAACATAGCTGAGCTTCATAAACACTGTGAAGGCTTCTGACAGAGTGCTGCATGAGAGCTGGGCGTTGCCACAGCTGTCAGAGAGCCCTAAACGTATCAGCCTCCTGTCCAAATGTCACTCGGTGCAACTAGACATGAGCAAAGTATTTGGGAAGAGAACAGCTTGACGCAGCTTATTACCCTCTGACACCAAGCATGGAAAAAATCTTCATTCCCGTAGAACAGAGAACGCCATGGCTTCACCCTGAGAAAAGCATGGCTCTTGGCATGCAGGGTGCTTTCACTTCCACTGTGAGCGCTGGCCCATGACCCTCAGGAATTCCAACACCGAGTCCACCTGGTCCTGGTTCTTTTCCCTGAGAGCAACCAGTGCCACCTGCCTCACAAGGGGATGCAAGTACCCCTCTGGTGCAGAGGTGGGAAGCCATAATAGGGCTGAAAGAGGAAGGCAGGAAGGAAGCGAGACAGTTGCTGCAGGCTTCAGCTCGAACAGCACCCATCCAAGGCTACTTGCTTAACCTAATCGCAAACATCAGCCACGCAGCAGTGGGAAAGTACGTGAAGATCATTAGGGCCCAGCTGGTGCCCCTCTCCCAGAGGGTCTAAGAAAAAGCAGAAACAAAAAGCAGACACTAAGTGTCTCTTGATCAGTGCTGCTGTAACCACAGGAACTTGTCCAGAAAGAGGCAGTGACGTCTGCACTCACATGCCAGCACTTCTGCAGTTCGATGATGGCATTGTGAATTGCTCTTCAGCTTAATACAACCATTATTTATGGATGCTCAATGTTCTTTCACTTTTGTATCATGAGAACCCCAGCAAACTCTGCAATCTTTGCAAACCATTTTTATCACAAGAGCAAGTTTTTCTGGTGTTAAACGAGAAGAGAACTTGTGAGGGCTAGGTAAAGTTACTCAGAAACACTCCCTTCACGGGGAGGCAGCTGCACTGTACTATCATGCAGCAGTTATTTGCCCCCAGAGCTCTAACCACCTTTCCAGGATGATGTGCATAGCTATTATCTGTATGAGTGACTCTTCAGAGAGAACTACAAGGCTTAGTATTGAGCTTGTGTCACTGCAGAGGCTGGAGTGGGAGATCTGTCTCTACAATGAAGTCTGCTCCCTGGCCTTAATGGCAGCATGGGACTGGAGCTTCAGAAAAATCCCAGGTACTGTCGTAGTATCCCTTTGTCCACTCCCTTCATGTTCCCAGGCTTCACAGCTCACACATGAGCTCAGCTCAGCACTGAGACAGCACCGACAGGGAATAAGCAGCTCAGATGGGACATCAAGGCCTTCCTGGCACAGAATAGACACTGGAGAGCTCTGGTCCTTACATCTGGAGCCACTTGGCATTCCTTTGAGGTAGATTCCCCCTCCCACTGCCCTATTGAAAATCCCTTGCCCAGGATAGCACAACAGGCCTTCTAGTTTAACTTTGTGATGTGCACCAACTTGCTTGTGTAGCCCCTTTATACCTTGAAATCTCCATCATGCTCCAGGTAAAGGTTTTTGAAAAAGAATGAAGGGTCTGGGATGCAAGCCATCTTCTCCCACAAGCTGGAAGAGAAAAGAGAAAGGCTTCGGGGTTAAGCACACATTACAGATGCAAAGTGAGGCATCTCCAGATCCAGTTCAAGCAGCTGAAATAGCCTGCCCAGCCTTACTAGCCTCACAAGTCAGCAAGTGGCTAAGGATCCAAAGACGGCTGGTGCTGTCAGAGCCATCTAATGGACTTTCTCGTGAACCTCACAGGAGGTGAGGCCTCAGCCCTCAGGACTTGCACACACAAGAGTCATGCTAAGGAAAGAGGTTCCAATTTTTTTCCTTACTGGAAAAGCACCAAGTGCTGGAAATGCATTCTCCCCTCAGGCTAGGCTGGCACGTGCTCTGCAGCTGCAGGCCAGGACTCTTCCCTGGGGACTTTGTGGCGGTGGTCTGTGCCAGCCCAGCACCCTCCTCTGCGGCAGCATGCACCCCATCCCTCTGCAAGGGCACCTCACCCTCCGACAAAGGAGAGAGATCCCAGCCGGTGCTGAAGGCAGGGCAGCCCCGGCTGCTGCTCCCATCTGGCACTGTGGAGAACAGCCCGGACCAGGAGAACAGCCCAGGAGGCCGGGTGTCCCCTGCTCAGTCCCCATGTGCCGTTGCCTTGTCCCACCCAGTGGAATGGCAGCAGAGCCCCAGAGAGAAGCAAGGCGCTCTTGCCAGGGCACCAGCTGGAGATGAGACTTTGCTGGTGCCCACAGGCCCAGAGCTGTGTCCGTGCATGGACGTACAAGATGCAAAGACGGCTGTACGTGAACACCCCATCTTCCACAAGACAGAACAGGTGCATTTACTCCAGCTTCCTGAAGCATTCTTACCTCCGCTGTTTGGCCAGAAAGGTTGTGATTGCGGCGGTGATTGCCACGACAACACCAAACGGCAGCAGCCATCCCACGCCTGCTGTCTGTGTTGCTGCTGGAGAAAGAGACAGGGTCATTCGGGCTCACCTTGCAATTCCACCCCGGTCAACAAGCAGGAGATGGTGAGGAGAAACCCTCAATTTCTGCCCCAGACTTTCTCTTAGGGACACCCCAGACGCCAGGTCTGAATGAGGGTGCTGAGAGAAGAGAGGGGCAGTGCCGCAGCTGCCCCGTGGCCTGGCAGCCCCACAGGCCGGCAGCCAGCATGCTGGGGGCTTCGGGCTCACCTTGCAATTCCACCCCGGTCAACAAGCAGGAGATGGTGAGGAGAAACCCTCAATTTCTGCCCCAGACTTTCTCTTAGGGACACCCCAGACGCCAGGTCTGAATGAGGGTGCTGAGAGAAGAGAGGGGCAGTGCCGCAGCTGCCCCGTGGCCTGGCAGCCCCACAGGCCGGCAGCCAGCATGCTGGGGGCAGGAGGGTTCCTTCCTACAAAGGCCCCTGGTGCTTCTGACTCCTCCTGGTTTTAGGGACACCTCCACCGGTGATCCACAAAGTGGAAAGAGAGTGCAGCTGGCCAGAGATATGTGAAAAAGAGGCGTTGAGTAGATGAGTGTTTGCTGGCTGCTCTCCGCCTGGGATGGAAGGGAGCACTGCTGAGACCCAGACCTCAGGTAACCCTCAGCAAATGGAGCCCGACCCTGCTGCCACAGCACCAGGTAATACCTCAGTCTGAGCTGCACGTCGGTGAGAGCAGGAAAGCTCACCACATGCTGCCAACATTGATCAGAGTCATCCTCCCTGCTCTGTTTGAACAAAGACTCCCTATTTTCATAGCCTCTGTTCCCCCCATGACAAGCACCGGCGTGCTTCCGTGAGCGAGGTACTGTGCGCTCGCTCCCTGTGGAGTGCGAGTGGTGGCTACCAAACAATGCCCACGCCCAGCATGACCAACCGTCGCAGTCCAGACAAGGAGCTTAACCTGAGAGCAGGCTACCCCTTCCCCCAGCTGAAGGCAACACTAAGCCCCAGCAGTGGGGGCACCCCTGCTACATCTCCCCCCTGTCCGAAAGCCACAAGCAGAACCCTGGATGTTTGACAAAAGGAAGCTAGAGGCTGCGCTCCTGCTGTGGGACCCCAGCCTACAGCCACCCCCACCAAACCCTCTCCCACGGGCCATGCTGCAGGGGGGGCTGGGCAGCACAGCAAGAAGGTCAATGCAGGCGGCACAGAGCAGCTCAGGGCTGGGGTTCACATCCTCCGTGAGCAAGCCAAACATGCCCGTCTTTACTAGACTATTTCAAATTTATTAGATTTGAGTAGAGTTCTGAAAGCATTCTCTGACATGGGACCAACTGGGAGGGAAGGAGAGCGGGTAGTACGTACCGGCAGGGTTGGTTTTCAGCGCCAGCGGAGGACTCCATTCACTCCAAACCCCACGGTAGCCAGTGTCTTCTCGGGGTCTGGCTCTCACTTGGAACTGATACTCAGTGCTCGCCTGGAGTTCCCACGGCAGGATCACCAGCATCCGTTTATCTTCACGGACAACTTTTGTCTTCTGACTCTGTGAAAGATTAAACACCAAACGCTCAGGGCTGGAGTGCCTGCTCGCTCCCACCTTGCCCTTGCAGCTGCACGGTGACGAGCCCTGCTGAGCCACCTCCTCTGCTTTCACCTTGTTTCCGCAGGGCCGTGCTCTGGCTGCTCAGCACGGGGCCCTGGGGCACCCTTCCACGCAGAACAGCAAGAGAAGGAAATGAACTGTCAGCCTTCCCCACAGGATCTAGTACTTCTCAGACAGCTTCTGCTTCTTGGTTCTTTTTTTTTCAGTTTTGCCTGTTGTCAGTCCAGGCAAGCAAAGAGACACCTTTTCTAAACCACTAAAACCCTTCTTCCACGCCAGTGCTCCTGTCCTGGTTGTGCTGGCCTCCTCTTTGCTGGTACATCCCACCTGATGGTAAAGGGACATCTCACTTACCTCCCAGGTGTCGGTCCTTCTCTTATAGCGCAGCTGATATTCCAGCTCCTCATTCAAAAAGTAGAAAGGAGAGTTCTGGTAGATGGTTTCCCAAGAAATATTGTAACCCTCTGAGAAGACAGCAGTCAGGTTGAAGGGAGGCTGTGGTTTGACTGGAAGACAGGATGGTGTTACCCTTCATAACGTTACCTCAGACAAGAGGTGGCCCAGCACGGTGTCAGCAATGCAGACCAAGGAGGGAACAAAACCGCCCTCGCAGGGGTGAGCCCTCCTGCACAGGAGAACCCCCAACATTCCTGCCTCTCCGGCTGAGCAGTCCTGAGCCGTGCGAGAACCTCACACCTCAGCAGCCAGCGAAGCCAAGCCCACACTTGTCTGGAAATGCCTTCTGCCTGTCTCTGAACCTTCTCATCACCTCAGGAGCAGGAGAAGAGAGCACGAAGGGCAAATACCTCCCAGGACATGTAAAGAGTAGCGCACCTTGCTCTTCTCATGGCATAGGAGGACTCTGGGTAGTCACGGTCACTTGCACAGTTAGGGAAACACCCCTCAATGGAAAAGAGACATCAGGAAAAGCTGCGGCTTGAGAGGCTGGAGGCCCAGGGCAAATCCCTCTGTCAAAGTGCCTCAAAGGCAAACTCTTGTGTCCTTTGCAAGGTGTTTTCATATATAGAAAAGCAGCAATGCACAAGCTCTGGTACTACTCTGCAGGGTCTGTTGCTGAGCTATGATGCCTCTGTACGGGAACATCTCGGAGACGTGCAAAGGACCACGACCCGATCTATAGTCTGTCAGTGGGGGGCAAAGGTCTTTCCTGAAATGTTACGGCATTTGTCAAAAAGGTGACACTTCTCACATAACAAGAAAAATCCAAGAAGAATCCAAGCAGAAAAATCCTTTTTCATGTGCCTGCATGGTACCTGTCTGCCTGGCTAACCACCCCTCTTCTTCAGTTTGCTGCATGCTCAGATCACACCAGCATTGCACCAAGTCAATGCATGATTGCACGCACTCCTCCTGTCACGTGGAGGAGATGGTTAGGAATTGCCCTAGAAAGCGGAAGTGCCACCTGTGCCTGGGACACCTTGTGCCACTCCCAGTAATGCCATGTTGGTTCAGGTATCCACCGCAAGAGCCTCCTGGGATTCCTGCGAGGACATCTGTGGCATTTGCAATTAAAGCGATTCCTCCGCCCCCTAAAAATTCTAGCCAAGAACAAACACTTGCATCGTCTAGGTACAAGACTGATCTAAGGTAGAAATTCATCGCCTGCTGCTTCATGGGGCCAAGCCAGTTCTAAGCTCAGCCTCAAGCACAGCTGTTTCTATAGCTTACAACAGCGACAGTAAGAGCACAGTGCTCTGTGTAGATGGGTGCACACCAAACATAGCCCCCCGCCACTGGCTGCCACGCTCACCCCGTGCCCAGACTATCCCAGCAGATAGGCATAAGGTCAGGCGGCATTTATCAAAACCACCATTTTTGTACTTACTGTTCTCTGACATATAAAAGTCTTTGGAAATCACGTGCTGCCTATGAGCATCTGTAACATCCACCTGCACTTTGACATCTGCCAGGAGTTCAGTCATGTCCACAGTGCACACGTACTGGGTGTGACTGGTGTTCCTGGACAATTGCAGGAGACTGCAGGCAGCCACAGTATTTTCTGGCTCTTCCTCAGGAACCCTAAAACCACCAAAAAACCAAACAAGTCCACATCTGCCACATGCCATAGTTGGACTAATCTATTGCTGAATGTCCAGGCATAGAAATTAACAAGAAAAAAAGAGGCAACATGTTCAAATAAAAATTTATCTTTGAACTTACAAGGAGAAAAAAAAAATCTGTCAATTTGCTCAGCTTAGCATCTTTGAGAGAAGTAGGAAAGTGACACTGAAATGTTCATGGGAAGGAAAGGACTGCACAGCCCAGGACTGCACCCACCTCCTTGCTGGCACAGCAGAGCAGCCGTAGGGGGCGTGGACAAGCTGCATGAGCCCTGCCAGCACACACGGGTGAAAGTCCATAATTAAGAGCAGCAAAAGGCAAGGTAACCCAGGACAGGAGAGAAAACAATGCCAAGGAAGCCAGTGTCAGCATAGCAGTCAGTGGACACAGGAACCAGGGATGCTTCGCTAGGGGAGAAGCCAGGTGATAAGAGTGTGAAGTACCAAGGGAAAACCAGCACAGCAGCAAGAACGAGAATTCTATCTAACAAAGACAGCAGAAGGACATCACTGCTATGGCCACCATTCTGCTATGGCCACGTTTGAAGTTCCTGCTGGCTGCACTTTGCTCATCCTACGAGACGTACCATGTTGCAGTGAGGTTATACAAACTGGCACCCCAGTCATTTCCCAGGATACAGGACAGGGTCTGCACATAGTCCACAAAACAAGTGAGGTTTTCACAACACGTAGCTGTAGGTTTGGAAAGAGAAAATACAGTATCAACTTCCATGATGAAGCAAGTGGGACTTTATAGCAATGTGCACAGGCCTCAGGGCTTCCCCTAAACCTGAAAGGAAGAGACCACGCTGTGCCAGCCCCGCCAAAGTCTCCAGTCTTGGAGTGTAAGACATGTCCCATCTCTACAAGGAGGCAACTCACTGACAGCAAGATAAGCATCAAACAAAAATCTATTAAAATGCTGTGGCAGCAAATGGCATACCAAAATACCAGGAAATGCCCAAATTGTGACTGAACTGTCCCTTCTTACACAGTCACTACAGCAGAGTCATGTTATTTGTGCAAGAGTCCTGGCTTATGCAGCACATAAAAGAGGCATGATTACCCCACCAGAAACAGTAGCATATTCAAACATTCCAATGACACCACTTCCTAAACTGAGTACTCTTCTTTGCTAGTCTAGTTTTCCTTTTATGACATCTCCTGGCAGTTTGCACATTTAAAAAAAAAAAGTGGTATTTTAGTAATTCTTTCTTTACTCTCTTACTCTTCTCTGCTTACTATTCCTACAGCATGATATCTGCAGCATCAATACTTTTCATGTCCAGCTCCAGAGGCTTGGGATATGCTTTTCATGGAATTTTGGCAATATGGCAGATCTGTAGTTACTGTCATTTCCATAAATCATTCTGATACGAAAGTGATAGGCACAATTTATTAATCACTTAAACTGAAACAGACTTCTAAAGAGAAGTTGGGAGGCAACTGTAGAATTTACACTGGTCATTAAGAAAATTAGCTATTTTGAAAGTGTTCACAAAGCAGCATTTATGCTCTTCTGATTGTTCTGTAGGAGGTCTGCTCATGTATCGGTATCCAAGATGTGCTGTACAAAAACACTGTTGTTCTATGCATAGCACACAGCAGTTATCTCCCTGGAGTTTAAGGCAGGGAAGACTGCAGTACAGTGAGAAATGTCTGCATTGGTGAGTCCTCTCCTGACACCACTACTACACTAGGAATAACCGAGCAAGGAAAGGGTTGCAGCAGATGCAGCGTGCCATGCTGGAGCGAGCCATGCCTACTACAGCAACTATTCATCTCTTACACGTACAGCGTTACCCCTTTCTGATGGGAATAAAATTGTCATCATCTAGGGGAAGATCTCAAGGTGGTTACTTCCATGTTTAAATCAAGCGTGGGTCCTCCCCTCCCAGCAGGGCTGCCCCAGCCTGATGGGAACACCTTCCTTCACAACCATCAGGCACACAAATCCTCTGATGCTCACCACGTTGCAAGTTCACCCCCCTTTGTCGTTCTGCAGCTTGCCTGGTTAGAGAAGCTGCACTCCCTGCTTCCTACCTTTCCTGTGTTGAACAGCTCTGTGTTCAGAAGGGTTGTTTGCACAAGATGAAAGGCAGGCCTCTGCGATATGCTCAGCCACCACAATGCTTGATTTTACAATTAAAATTAACGCTGCATGCAGAGAAAAACCAACATGCAATGCAGGCAACGTGTCTGTTTGTTTGATGGACCAGAAGCATCTGTTCCAAGCTCCCCAGCAAGGGACAGTCCTCACAAGCTGTCTCTGCATTGACAGTCACACTGCACAGCAGGCACACCCAGGGGAGGCTGCAGCCTGGCTCTAGACCAAAGTAAGGGCAAAGGAAAACACGGGCCAACTTCTCCCACCGACTTCACTCATTACAAAAGTTTCTTCCTAGTCCTGTTGCATCAGAGCACAGACTGCTCTCCCCACAGGAGTTCGGGGCAGCACTCAGATTTGTGTGTAAGACCCCACAAAGAGTCAGGAGGGTGACAGAAGAAATCTGGGGATGCTTGCGACAGACTGGCCCCAAGGGTGTACATATGCTTTATTAAACTGTGCTTCAAATTATGTGGTTGTCACTTTGTTTCATTTTGACTTTTCATTTCACATTGACTTCAGAATTTTGTTCTAAAATTTTCATTAAGTTTTAACTTGTCGTATTGAGCCCTCAGTAAGCTCTTCTGAGGGCTCTAGTACAAGCACTGCTTGTTCCAGAGTCCTGAACAAGATACTTTTTCTCCTTCAGCCTAACTTTACTCTCCTACAAAAATGAGGTTATAAAATCCTTGCTTTTCTCTAGAGAGGGAAGCAAGTGTTAAGAAGTTAATAAGCATTGGTAATTAGCATTCTTCTGTGCTGTTATGTTAATCTGTCAAATGGACTACTATTCCTAGGTAGCTGCAAGCTTATCTTTGGGCGAGAATCTGTTAACAAAATTAAGAAGAGGACAGCTTTTTACTGGGAGGGGAATAACTACATGTCCTAAACCCAGTTAGACCTAGGATGAATTGTTCTTCTTTGGCAGCTTCAGAAACAAAAATCAAATACTTTTAACAGTAAGATCGAGTTTGGTCCAAACTGAAATTAATACAGGGTAATTTCCTGGCTTGTGTTACACAAAATTCAGACCAGGCGTCAGAATGGTCCTGCATGGCAGGAAGATACATCTCTGAATCAATCTTTTCTGCTAATTTAGGTTTGGAGCAGGTCCAGTGCTCTGCCTAGAAGCAGCATGTGAAATGCTAAGCTTGCAGCTGTTCCCTGCAGACACGGTTGTTGCTGCCCTTTTCTGTCCAGCTGACCTGTTCAGAAAGTCAGCTCTGAGTCAGCCAAAGCCTGCACGGGGGGTAGGAACCAGCCAGAAAGGGGGAGCGAGCATCTGCACAGTGCAGTCCTGCGCAAAGGGGCTCAGAGCAGGAGAGGTTCACTCCACTGTCCCTGGCTGGCCTGGCAACAGCGGCCATAAGCCCTGGGGATTTCCTCGTCTTGGCCACCAGAACCTCTCCTATGGCAAAGTGCTGGGTTTTCTCGGGGGGCAAGGGGGGGAATCTTACTCTAATGTCAGCAGGAGACATTTCCATGCAAAGCAGGCACTACCTCTGCAGTCTCTGGCGCTGCTCCCTGGAGTGGCGTGCAGCCTGGCTGAGCTCTGCCCAGCTGTGCACCTTCTTCTGTCTCTCCTCCATCACCCATGGAGCCTCTTCCATCCATCATTATCCCATCGAACCCTCTCCCCTGGTACCCCATGTTGTGCTTGCTGTCCCACAGCAATCTTGTGCCATGCACATCTCAGCAGAGCCCGCATCAACAGCCACCAAGATAAATCCTGTGGGTGTACGGCCTGGAAGAGATATCTGGGAACTTACTGTACTGGAATAAAAGGAAGAAGGAAATAATCTGGAGCCACAGCTTGTTCTTCATGTTGGTTCTGACTAGATGTCCTGGAAAAAAACATAACAAACCCAATTTATGAAAACCAAACAACCACTTAAAATTCATCTCGGCCATCTACTCGTGTGTTAAAGGTTGAGGACGACCAAGAGCCCTGCCAACTGGCCATAAACCAGGTCAGTGAGGTCTCTGCTCCTTGCCAGCAGCATGTGTGCAGAGAAAGCAGCAAAGTGGCGGCAGCCTCAATCTACCCATGCGACAGGAAGGCATTCAGGTTAAGTGCTAACCCCTTTTTTTCTTCATTGGTTTCCTGCAACTAGAAATGTCTTGCAGCTAACAGAAGTGACACTGCTGTGGCTTAAACATCTGTACAGTGAACTAGTCAAATAGAGTCTGAATGCCACTGTGGGTCCATACGAGCAAGGCTTGTGAGAACTCATTGATTTGGCCTGCCCATGGTTAAACAAGCGTGGAATAATGGAATAGCGAGTTAAGGGACTCCGGGAAGGCAGACCAGACAAATAAGAGTCTCCCATGTGGCACAGAAGAAAGTGATGCACAGTACTCGCTTCAGGGGAAGTCTGTCCTGGTGCAGTTGGGTGAAGAGAACCTACAGGGAAGTCTTCAAAGAAGACAGCAGGATGTTCACAACAACATGAGGAAACAGCATCACGTACAAAGGGCTGCTCAGCCCACAGCCCCTGCACCCAGACCAGGCCCTCAAGCCACACGACACGTTAAGGCTGCGTTTTGACAGTATTTAACGCTTACAGAAACACAGACACTTACAGAAAGACTTAAAATCAGCTTCCTGCAGAGTACTGGCTGTTGATAGCTGGTACAGATTTCAGCACTCTTTTCTCAAGATATTCTGAAACAGGCTAGGCTGCCTGGGGACAAGGCTTTGGAGAAGCCACGTGCATCACTTTCGGGACATAGTGCTGTTGTCAGGAAGCTGCAAGGATGCAGACAGCAGGGAGGGCCCACGTGCCTCGCCACGGAGCAGCGACGTTGCGGCTGGACACACACAGCTCCCTGCAGAGCCCCAGAGCTCTGCCAGCCTCCCTGCAGCAGATTGCACAGAGGCTCCTGCGAAAGTGATGTGGGCGAAGAGTGGGCAGCAAACCGCAGCAACTAAAAGATACCCGAGATCCTGGCAGGGGCTGGTGCAGGTCACAGAATCACAAATTGTTGGGGTTGGAAAGGACCTTCAAAGGTCACCTAGTCCAACTCCTGGCCATGACCAAGGATATCTTCACCTAGATCAAGGTGCTCAGAGCCCTGTCACACCTGACCAGGGATGGGCCATGTACCAGCTCTCCAGGCAACCTGCTCCAGTGCTTCACCACCCTCATTGTAAAAACATTTTTTCCCTATATCTAGCCTGAATCTACCATCTCTTAGTTTAAAACCATTACCCCTTGGCCCACCGCAACAGAACCTATTTAAGTCTGTCCCCATTTTCCTTACAAGCCCCCTTTAAGTACTGAAAGCCCACAGTAAGGTCTCCCTACAGCCTCTCTTCTCCAGGCTGAACAATCTACCAGCACCCCCAAGTCCTCCTCTGCAGGGCTGCTCCGAACCCCTTCATCCCCCAGCCTGTATCGGTCTGGGGGGTCACCCTGACCCCAGTGCAGGACCCAGGTCCTGGGGTGCCTGTGCCTCCCCCACCACCAGCAGCAAACACCCAAACCGTCACTCAGCAGAGAGGATGCCAGCGAGGCCTCTCCCACTTGCAGAACATTTGTGGTGTTCAAAAATTTCCCAAGTTTACTCAAATAATGAAAGCAAAATAAACTTAGCAGCCACCAAAAAGTCCCTGCAGCCCCACGGGAGCTCCAAGGCTTGCTCTCAAGGCAGCAGAGGGTCCGGATGAGATCAGCAAGGCTCACGCAGGAGGTGCCACAAACACCCCGGGGCTGCAGTG